CCCTCCTTTGTTCTTCAGAAGCTCTGCGAGCTTGGTCTTCTTGCGCGGCTGTATTTTGAGGTCATCATGGATGAGCTGAACCGCTTTACGCAAAGGGGCGCTGCACAAAGTTTAGTCAGCGCCTAACCAAGATTATCAGACAACATACGTCAGCTCTTCTCGCAAAAGCCTGAACTGGATGTCGAGCAAGCGTTGCATGCTCTCCATAGGTGCAGGATGAGGAGCACCAAAAAAGTTCACAGGCAGAAATGGTGGAATATGACTCATAAGTTCCTCGTGAGTGGGAGCAATACGAATGTCGTAGATGTCCTCTAAGTCGTTGTCGTGACGAGGCCCACCTTCACGGATGGCACCCGGACCTTGATAACCACTATGGAGTGCGGCGATGATGCCCTCATTGGCGAAGGCAGTGTGGGAGGACTTCTTTTGACGATCAGAGCGTTGTTCTTTTCCTTGTTCCCGTTCCACAATGGAAACCAGCTTGTTGATCTTCTCGCGGAGAGTTTGAACGAGCATGTCTCGTACAGTAGGCTGAAGGAGTTTCAGGGAATTATCGAACGAAGGCGGATTAGCAGAGATGCCAGTCATCCACTCTCCAAACCATTTCTGTAAATTCATAACCAATGGTGCCAGACGAGGATATGTTGCGACAGCGTTCTTGAAGCGAACAAGAAACCTGATGCGGATTAGAGTAAAAATAACGAAGGCAGTGACAATTTCTTACTCGTGCAGGACACCAGCGATGGATGCGAATGCCTGTGTGTCGATAGGGTCTTTTCCAACAGCCCCCGGGTCATTGAAGGAGCGGGAAGTGATGATGCTGTCCATGGACTTCTCGACAACATCTGCAAAATTTGGAAGGTTCTGTAATACCGTCATGTAAAGTTGACTAGCAGTAGCTCAGTGGATTGCGTCACGACGAATCAAAGATGCCTACTTTGCTTGAGTTCTTAAAGTGCTCTGAACAACGAAATCGGAGGACATATACTGCAACAAGGTCAACACTGGCACGGGCGCGCAATAAATCCACGTACTCTAAGCAGGGGGATAATCCCTCTCTGAAAAGAGAGAGTTTCCCGGCTCACGACTGCCTTTGAGGAAACCTGCTGCCAAGTCACTATCTCGGCGACCCGAAGTCGGCCAGTGTTCTGCAGATTTCGGTTGAGTATGCATCAAAACATCCTTGATGAACGTACCGAGGTCAGGGTTTCGAGTAGTAACTAGGACAAATGCCGTCAAATCAGAGATGAGATCGAGTAGTAGCAGCATACCTGTCCTTCTTCTTGGGTCTGGAATTAACAGTTAACCAAGACGAGTTGCATGAAATGTTTAAAACATACCCATGAGGCGTTTTGAAGATTGGCGCTCGACAATGGGATGAGAAAGCCGTATATCTCAGGCGCAGTCTTAAATCGGAAGTCATCTCTGAGGAATCTCCTCAAACGACTTTGAGTCTCTGATGGAGTCAGAGAGGTTGTAGCGTCCTGAGGGAAATAACCGTCGGTTCCACCTCCCACGAGTTTCGCGAGACCTTTCTCTGTGAGGAAGGGAGCGATGAATTCTTGCGCAGCCCGTGTTGGGATTGCGAAGGGCTGCGGAGATCGTATGCCGTCCTGACCCTGCCTGAGGGTATGTGCATAACGGCAGTCGAACTCTCGAAAACATCGTCCTGTCTCCCAAAAAAAGCGACATACCCCTCGAGGGGGTGGACTTGACGGAGATGTTTGGCGCTGAGGGCCTTGAGCATCGCGTCGTGAAGGAGATCCATCAGAAGACACGCTCGGTGACGACGGTCTTCCGTCTCCTCCTCGACGCTCTGCATTTCGAATGTGTTCAAAAGTACAAGATGTGCCACGACGGCAGCCGCCTGGCGAGTTATAGAAATGACAACGGCGAGACATGACGAGGCTACTAGTAGCAGTATCAGTTCACGTCAGTTTCTAGCTGTGTGGTTTTTAAGTGAAAGGATCATGAGGTGCCTGGGGGACCTACAGATGAACGCGATAAGCAATAAACCAAATGAGGAGTAGAGCTCTTCCAACACGAGGCTTCACAGGATGTGTTCAATTGGTCTGATACCAGCTGATACGCACCCTTTGAAGCCAATGTCTTGCGAGATCTGTATCTACAGGTGAGGCCGTTGAACCTAAACTTTCTACCTGAGATATAATACGACCATTAATTGCAGAATGCACCATAAAGTTCTCGTTAGAGCACGCACGTGAGTTGTTCGAACAATGATACTATGTAGTTAATAGAAGCTTCTGGAGTACTATAGAGTCAATGAGTCGAGACTCCAGACGAATCGCGACCAGATGATCCGGATCATTCGGAGTTGATTCGGAGTTATAAATTTTAATCGCCCTATTCAGCGGCAGTCACTCAGTGACTCAGCAGTGACTAGGTAGACCACAGCAAATAGAAGGAAGACTTGATGAAGACGGCAAATAGAAGGGGGATCACAGTTGTTCCAGCCCTCGATATATCTGTGTCCTTCTTCCTTAACGACAGAGTCTCAGTTAGGAGGTCAAGCTATTGGCCTCGTTGTTGGTAGTCCCAAAGAACTTGTTCAACAAAGGGATCATCGCTGATCATTGCCTCACTTCTAGATCAATGGGTTTGAGCGCATTTAGTACTGTATTGCGCATCTCCGCAGTACAGCACGTTTCCTGGGACAGCCTGTATCTCCACTCTCGGAGAAGCTCTTATCACAGAAATAGAAGCTTTCTACGTCGTCTCTTACTCACTCCAGCTCTGCCAGATCTATTCTGCTCGAGTTACAGCAGGCCTAGATGTTTCGGCTGTATCTGACATTACCTCACTCTCGAACATGATGCAGTATCGGGCAGCACTACTTTTGCTCGTCCATCCACGCTGGTAACGCCACAGTTCACGCACCCTCCTGCATTCACATCAAGTTCTTCACTGTTCACTTCACCGCATTTGTGGCTGTGAAGCAGGAGATGCAGCGGACATTGACGTCATCCTGTTGAGGTTCCTGATACACCCACAGAACAATACGTATTAGCAGCATCTGACGAAATCTGATCGTTTACCGGCCACGTTTGCCATTTGGGGCCCTGGGGAGCGAGCATTACATAAAGGGTGCCCCAGACGCACTGCGGCACTTGTAGTGCTGCGGTTGGAGCATCTTATGCTACTGCGGATGCATTATGCAGGGTACGCAGACTTAGCTCTCTACAACTGAACAGGCCGGGTAACTTTTGAAACCTGAGTCCTGCGCTCTACATGGTATTGAGCATTAATATTGATATTCAACACGTTGCTGTCATAAAGGTGCCAGGGATGAACGAGAAGCTACAGCAATGATTTATTTTGAGGCTTTGCATAGTAAAGACCCTCGATTTATTCCAATAGACATTGTATTCGTATACGTAAGTGAGGCACGGACATAGAACGAAATCTTCTATGCACGAAACGAACAAGCCCGCAAACTTTGCTTGACGGAATCTCCTCAGTACTGAGTAGTTTTTGCTGCTTGAGCTAACCTTCTTCGTGTTTTACTATGAATAGGCTTGCTTCTGATCCGAGTTTAGAGCATTGTCCGGACTACACCTCTGATATCTATCAAGCCATTCGCGCTCGACTTCTGAATCAGAACACCAATGACGCTCAAGTAGTTGCGATTTTGCAAAACGTGTGGGTAGTTACCAATAACACCCACAGGGTCCAATGGCAGCGGCAAGTCGAGGAAGAACGGAAGAAGAATCCACTCAAATACATTCTCATTCCAAACCATCCTCGCCCCTCGCACGCTACGGACAGCGTCCTCATTTCCGATTCTGCCTTTAGAAAGCTCGTTGAAGGTCAGTATGTGGAGCTTTACTACTGGACTAATATGGGTCTCGCGGATGCCAAAGGCATGGTGCCTTCTTCAGGCCCTGAAAGCTCCAACACAGCGGGTCCTGCCCGTCCTGCAGCTGCGGTCATTCCCGACCATGGTCTCAACACTCTCGACTTCGCTCAAGCTGTTCATCGCGCAGTCGCGTCGTTTAAACAGTGCGGTTGGGCAAACCAACGTGTCGAGATGCTTGCAGGCTTCTGGCGCGCGTTAATGCTTCATCGTTATTGGACTGCCGTCGACCCTCTTTATCAGCGTGCATTGCTCGACTACCAGGATGAGCAACGGCGAGCATGGCACCAAGCCATTCCCCTCCCCGATGGGGCATGGGACATCTCTATTCTAGATGACGCAGAGATTGTGAAGACTCACGATCGAATCTACCGGGAAGATCGGTGTCGTCGTGACGATGAATGGGACTTCCAGGTGCGCTTTATTCCTCGCCTCGATCATCTATTCGCTGACACCTTTTCTCCACTTTCCTTTGTGACTGCCCTGCGGCACTTGTCCCTGTCGTCGCCTTTCTTTACATATGGCATTTGCGCTGGGATTTTGCGTGCGTCTGGTATCTGCATCATGTGTTTGTGTGGTGTGCTACCCCCTTTCATCTATGTGTGGATAGCGCCTGCAGCGCCTTCAATCGTACCCCAGAGGTGCACAAGATGATCATTCATCGACCCGTCGTGCCCGGCGCTCGAGACGTTCATCTGCGCGTCACCACCCAACGGGGCTGCCCTCCTCCAGAGGTCCTCGACGCTCAGCCTCTCCTCCGGTGCACAGTAACCCAGCCTTCTCCCGTAACTAGTTGCGCTGACTGGCTCCTGATTTTTCGGGGATCACAGCTCGTAGTCTTTCTTTCTTAGGTCGGAGTCGTGTTTTAGCCTAAAACTCCAACCAATTTTGCCCAAACTCGCATTAATCTCAGCTTCCCGTTACATGACTCCGCAAGGCGGACCTCAGTAGGACGTAATATATTGGCGCCGATAATATTGTGAGGAAGAAGCATGGATGATGGGATTGCGATATAAAGAGGGGTTACAAGCCCAATAGATTAAGTACGTAGATCCAGCACCGCAATAGCGCGAGATAGAGAAACAATTGAAAAAAAAATCAACGCAGCCTCAGCAACTGCAGAAATCTCTCTGGCGGGGAATCGAACCCCGCTTTCCCGCGGCCGTGCTTCAACATGACAGGCGGGTGTACTATCCGATATACTACCAGAGACTTGGCATAGGCCCAGCCCTTAAGTATAAGTGGGCATATGGTGGTTGCACAGCTACTTCGTACCTTATCATGAACACCATTACTCAGATTCTTACTGTCTGTGCATTGGAGAAATGTTACTGTAGGGTGAATTCAACGTGAAGATCCAAGCGTAGTTGTGCACTTCTTCATGGTACCTGCGCTTGACAGGGGCAGGAGTGCCAAGTATGTCATCACCAGAAAACGACGCGCGGCGCCGGCAGTACCTTCAAGAGTCTGATCTCCAACTTCAATCTCGCAGGTCATGACATTCTATCACCCTACTGCTCGTTTCAGTACAAAGGGCAAAGTCCTCGTCGTTGTGCGTATGCCGATATCTGAATCAATACAGGAGGGCAGCTAAGACAAATTCTCCAAGGCAGCCCGTTGTTTCTGTCGCAAACGTTGCCCAGCTCGCGGCCGATCTCCTGATCGCTTCATTATCCCTGCATCGCGTAGGCATATTCGATCCTAGGAGCTTAGTTCCTGTTGTTGGCGCTCGAGAAGATGATCTTCCTGGCGTCACGACACCGCTCGAGCGTATGTCTTCATGCATATTTTGCCAGAGCTTCGGCTAACCATTGAAAATGCTAGTATTTGGCCGCGAAAATGTTAATGTCGCAGTCATACAGCAACGCTCTCCCGCATTAAAGGTAATGAAACCGCCACTCAGACGTGACTTTTACCATGACTGATCTCGCATCCCACCAGTCCTCGAAGCAGGATTTTGTTGAGTCCCTGTTGGAATTCATCCGGACTTCAGGAGCTTCAGCTGTCCTCATCATTGGAGGTGTGGATATGTCTAACAGGACTGATCCTCAAATGCTGTTGAGTTGCAATGATTCGGCATCTGAGCTGCAAATTGATGTTCTTCCGATGCCCCTAGGACACCTACCTGTCAGATCGTCCCCCCTGGAACACCTGATTTGACTTCTGGTCCGTTGGCTGCCCTCAACACCTTGCCAATACCCGTCTACACTTCACCCGTTTCCCAGTTCCTGCACAGTGATGCAGAAGGGACAGCCATACCTTTCATACCAGGCGGAGGCCTATCTCGCCGAATTCTTTCCTCACTTTCCGACACATGGCAAATCCCAACTGTGTGTCTGTTGCAATATGTCATGGAAGGAGACAACAGAGCGGACGCCCAGCTCATGGCAGCTGTGGTATCCAAGGTGTTGCAAATAGAGATTCCTGACTGGAAGCAGCCTAGCAGTTGGGGTCATGGTCTTTTCGGTACCCCTCATGATCAAACATTGTACGGTTGACGAGTGTATTGTACAGCGTAGTGCAGTTGTTGGTAACAAAAATCAAGCAACGATACAAAAACAAATCCACACTCGCTTTTTGGTAGTCTGTACTGAACATCAGTGTTTTCCAGAAATGCCCATACGGTTCCGGCCTTTTTTCTTGGCGGCTTGAGACAACGACAGGTAGGCATATGGATCCACACCGCCTTTCTTGACGTCGCCGCCAGCTTTCTGCAGTAAAGCATAAGACTTGGTTAACGTAAACCCCAATAGATCACCCACCTTTGCCTTAAACTCGTGGCCTAGTTTGGGCTCGGTCCGCTGCTTGTTCTTCTTCGTAGTCGCGGCAGCACCATCAGCCATCTCCACATCTCCGTCTTCGTCCTCATTCTGGCGGCGTCTCTTTTTGGTATCCTTGTTAAACTTGATACGTCCATTGGGTCCGCGAGTAAAGCCATCCACCGAAGTCATACTCTCCCGATATGCACTGCCAGCAACGTCCTTGGCAGCTTTCCGAGCGCTGACTTCAATGTCAGACTCCTCGTCCTCATTGATAACCATCTTTCCGGTGTCAGCGTCAGTTTTAAAGCGACCTGCATCTTGACCCGGTTTGCGGCGTCGGTTTGCTTGGGCACCTGTAAAAAGGTAAAGAACATAGATAGCAAGCATATGCTGAGAACACTCACTGGTCAATCGCGAGGCAGCACCCTGCAAGAGGTCCATCGGTTCGTCATCATCCACCCGCAAACGAACGCCTTGTTCAACTCCCTTCCGTTTCGGTCCCGCCGTGGGTCGAGGTGCTTGCTCGTCTTCGTCGCTATCATCCAACTCGCTTTCGCTGCCATACAATACGTCCTCAAAGGCATCACCTGTGGGAACCTTCTCTTTTGTCGCCTGAGTGTTTTTATGAGCGACGGGAAATGGTAGGTGTCCAAGAAAACTAACCTCCCCTTCTTCGTCATCTTCCTCCCGAGCTTTCTTCCGTTTAGCTCTATCCTTTCGTTTCTTGATGTTCACCAACACCTTCGCGGCCTGATCCTCACCTGCCGCTTGATATACGTCATTCCACCCGAACCTTCTGATCATCCGTTCGAAGATGTGGCGGACTTTTGCCTTGAAGTGGTTCTTGTGATCGTGCGACCAGGCAAGGAGCGCAGGGACGAGTTCCTTCAGATGCGGTCGTAACAATTCAACAGGCAACGTATGAATCGCAAGCTTGATGTACCCGAGCGTAGATTTGATGATCTCACGGTTGGCAGAGGAGAGGAAAACGAGAAGAGTCGTGAAGATCTCTGTCTGCATTTGTGCATCGATGGATTCTACCAGAATCGTTAGACGGCTGCAGTCACGACTTCAACCTACACACCTCTGAAATCGAAAACGAGACGGGAGACGGCTGTGACGGTAGCGCTGATCATGTGCGGCGAAGCTCCTGCTAATCCTCCGGCAACCATGGTCATGTACTCGTTAATGCTTGCTTGCGCTGCAAAAAGATGTCAACAGTTGATATGAGCAGTGCAACTGCGGCATACCTTCGGCGCCATCCTCATCCATTCCGTCCACCATGCTTCTCTTCACTGTACCCACCCTGGCTCATCTTTTGACCCATAGCAACGATGAGCTCGAAAGCCGCTGACCGTGCCTTCTCTGATGGCTCCTTCGTACCCAAGACAGCTTCTGGGATAAGCGATGGGATGATGTGCAAAGACTCGCTAGGTACCCGAAGTACCAACAGCGAGAGCAAGATGAATCGATCTTTCTTTGCAGCAGGTGCAAGCCCATCAGAAAGCTCGTCCAAACGTTGGAAAGTCTGGAGCGCATCTTCTTCTGCCTTGCCGTTCTCTAGAAGCTTCGCTAGAATCTTGTAACCACGCTTTTGCACGCCGTTATCTTTGTGGCACAGCACCTCCTGCGCGAGGCACGTTGAGAACAGAGCGGCTACGTCTTGCACTTCAAGGAAGGGAAGGAGGAGGATCAGAAGGTCTTGGGTCATCGCAGTGGTGCTCCCATTGTCGGACTGTTGAAGACTTTGGCGGAAAAGATCGACGACCTTCCTATAGGCTTTTGCAATGTCTTGCTTCTCCGCAAGTCCAGCCCAAACACCGATGACGTCGCCCACCATGCCACGATTGTCCCTGTCCACGCTGCCGAAAACGTTGAAGAAGACAGCGAACCAACTCTCTACCTGTGTCTTGAGGAAAACAAGGTTCTGAGAAGCTTGTTCGGGAGTAATTGCGTTGTCAGATCTAGATGACTCGCTCATGTCTGTGTCGATCTGGGATGCGATACTCTTGTTGGACTCTATCAAAGCCTTGAGGCCCCTTAGTACAGCTGGCCGAAGATCAGGTTGGCTGTAAAGTAGCTGAGAAAGGAGTTGCGAGAATGCTGGTGTAAGGGCCTAAAATGATAGACATCAATATAAGAGTTTCAATACGAGCGCTGCACGTACTGTCTTGACATCCAGAGGTGCATGACAATAGCCCGCAAATCCAGTCCATATCTGAGCGACAAGCACACTCCACAATTTCGCCTCTGATTGCCTTCCCTCGCTATCGGCCTTTTGCTGTAAATTAAACATCCGCTCGCTCATGGGCACGAAGTATGAGACAAAATGCCCAAGGAGCGATGGGTGAGGTTGGTTGAGCATAGGCAAAAGGAACGCCCGTGGTTCTTTGCCTGCTTGACTAGAAATATATTCAGCTTCAGTCCTTTGCCCCATATCAAAGCGACTCACCGATCCGACGGTTCTAGATTCAGGGGAATGGCTGCCAGAAGCACAGCAGGACCCACTACTCGCATAGCTGTCGAGAGCACAGCATCCGCAGCCTCCTTGTGCTCAAAGCCTTTTTGGACCCGTAGATCGGCGATTTTCGTCAGTAGAGGTATGAGTAAAGCCTCTGAAGCAGTTGTAGACTTCGCGGATTCCACACGGAAGCCCAGATTTGATACCAGAGCTGAAACAACCGAGAGCAACTCCTGCATCGCAGATGCAAAGGCCAGGGAGTCAAGGGCTTTCGTTATTTGCGAGATGATGCTTCGCAGAGATGATTTGCTAGCTTCGTCATCGGTAAGGGAGGCTTTCACTATAGAAGATGTGATACACCGTGTCAATAAAGCCAGAGACTCCGCAACAGCTTTGCGGGTTGGTGGATGGTTTGTCTCGAAGTACGACCACACCGTTTTCCACACTTTGTTGAATTCAGTGGTACAGGCCGATGCGTCGGCAACATGATAGGCAAACATGGCATCTCCGAGAACACGAATCCAAGATGGAGAGATAGAATTGTCAGATTTTGCTGGCGGGGATTCCAAGACAGCATTTAAAACAGCCGGAATCTGTTCTATTGCACTGGCAGTGCCGGTTGTGGTAGATGCAGTAAAAAGATCAGAAAGAATCGAGTATGCAGCTTGGGAGAGGTATGGGTTTCCTAATCGTGGAAGGGTCAAGAGTGTGGTGGTAATGGGTGGAATGGCCTTTGCGATTATTTGGGTTAGCATACGGCGAGTCAAAGGGGATTAGACATACATCGAGGGGAAGATTTGGAAGTACAGGACGCAAGAATGCAAGGAGATGAATAGCTGTTTCCGCAGCTGACATATCGGACCCTTTTCCAGACGATTTTGATTTCGGTAGTGCGCCGGAGCTAGCTTGCTGAAGCGCAATATGAGCCCAGTCAGCAACCCGCTGAGCATAAGGATGCCTGATTAATGGATTTGGTGGGAAGGAAAGAA